TGTCTGCCTTCTCCCCCCACCAGTAGCACAAGGGGCAGGGAATGGGGGCTCAGTCAGTTCACCTCTGCAGCTCTTCTTGGCATCAAAGTCCAGGAACAAGATGTTCCAAAGCAAGCTTCCCATGGAGTCATGGACCCCTTTGGGCTCAGCTCCTGGCTCTGGCATGGGGACATCCACAGGCTGCAGACGGGCCTCTGGTCCAGCGCACATCCTCACCCGGCAGCTCTGGGGGTCCACCCTCGCTCTGGCATTGAGCATCTCTGAGGTCTCAATCCAGTCACACTTGCCCTTGGGCTCAGCTTTCTGCTCCAGCATGGAGTACTCCATGGTCTGCATGTGGGTATCTGCTCTGCTGTTGAATCTCCATGGGCTGCAGGGACATCCTTTGCCTTCTCCTACTCCATGGGGTTGAACTGGGTGTCTCAGATTCTCTGTCCTTCCACTCCTCCTCCTTCCTCCTGACAAGGAAGCTCTCTCTTTGTTTAGGCCAATGTTGTCTTTTGTTCAGGTCAATGGCCTCTCCTCCAGGTTCTCTTTACCTTCTTTTCAGGACAGTCCTTCCTCTCATAAATATGGATTCAAAGAGGTGCTTTCTATTGCTAATTGGCTCAGCTTGAGCTGGAGGTGAGTATACCTTGGAGCCAGGAGAGCTTCACGAAGCTTCTCACAGGGGCCATCACTGTAGCCCCTTCCCCCACTACCAAAATTGGCCCACCCCACCACAAACCCAACACAGGACAAAGATCTGACTCCTGCTGTAGTTTGGGTAGATTTCAAGTCTCTGCAAGAACAAGGTATTTTGGGAGAGCCTTCATGCTAAAATTAAGTTTCCTGGAATGGGGGCAGTCTGGGCAGCTGGAGGGATGTTGTATTAAAAATGGCACTTTTCTACTCCTCTGCAGATTATGTTTTCTTTAAGGTCTTAAGTCCAGGATAGCTAAAATATTAAGTCTGATTTTGTTCTGATCAGTTTGGTGAATTCATCTGAGTCTGGAGCAGACACAGAGTAATCCTCACAGCTGGAAGTATTCGATTAACTGCATGAGTTGACATATGGCTTATGCAGAGAACAGACTTAACAGACTTCCAGAGCTGGAACCACCTTTTCACCTTAGACTTAGTCCTTCAGAACAGCCTCAGGGAAGCCTGGACCCACCGCTTCTTATGCCAACAGGCTGCCCGGGATGGTACTGAGGCACTACACATCTGCTAACTTTCATGGGCAGTAATTAAAATCCCCACAACTTTTACTTTGCAGTCACGATGCAGTTTATATGCTGTATCAGCACTGCTCATCTTACTTCCCTGGTGAATACAAAAGATTTTGTGAAAGAACACAAATATTACTTTTTCTACTACTATTTAAGGCTGTTACTACATATAGCAGTTGTAAATAGTATTGACCTGATTACAAACTTATTCTCATTTGATAATAATATTAATCCCATGAACCGGTACATAAGTTTCTCAGCATCTTATGTGTATTACTGGATTCAGGATTATGGTCAGCTATATGTAAACAGTTTCTAGGGCATTGACTGGCCCAGACTTAAAAGATTTTCATACAGCAATATCATATAGAGGTAAAATAAACCTCTGTGTTATGAAATTAGCTGCTATGCTGCAGGCACCCTACAGAAGTAAGTGATTACCTCACTTACTAATGACCTGTGAGAAACAAACTCCATATGTATGTTGCTTCTTAGCTACTGTTCTAGAAAGCTGCTCAATTTGTTAACCGTGCACAGTAAATGTCTAATTAAATTAAATCTCCAACCAGCCTGAGAAAAATGTATTGAAAGCACTCTGCTTGATTACAGACATTGGTCTAAAGTAACAGACCTATTGATCCAGTCAACTTCAAGCTTATCCACTTTGCCCAATTTAATTTGAGAACAACAGTAACTAAATTTTAGTTGGCTCTCCTATTCCACTCCCCAGGGAAATAATCTGAAGTGACTTTGAGGTCAGGTGGCATTCAGAAAATATTTAATAGGTCAAAGAAAACATTTATTTTGTTGCAACTATGGACACAAAGTTACATTAAAAACGCAAATATGGTTTCTAGTGCAATGATTACACAGTGTTGCTGACAGGGTCATGCGCCATGCACCAGCTTCTCTGGTGGGGGCAATAAACCCGTTGTTCTGCAAGTTCAGGATGATATTAAAAACCATATTTCAATAAAGTTCTCTACAGGTTCTCTAAATGAAAACAATTGAAAAAAGCCCCTGCCAGCTGTGGCTGAATATAGGGGCTGCTTGATTTTGTTATGCTCTGTGCCAATACAACATTAACCCTTCATCTACTGGGCAAGACATCCCTCCAATCTGTCCGAGAATTTCCTTAATTAAAGAAGAATGAACATTTAAACTGGCTTGTTGTACACGAAAGACAGCTCACAGTCTCTACAGAGCAATTCAAGACTTACCCTCTCCAGGGTCAGTGGCCTGAACACAATTCGGGTCAGTAATATACCACTGCTGCTATTAGCCAATAATTGCTCTAGCCACTTACATGAAACAAGTTGATGACCTCAATGCTGTTCCCACCAGAGATCCTTCCATAACAGAGAGACATCAGTAACACATGCAGTGTCCCTGCTAACAGTTCCAACAGACAGGCCAGCAACTACTAGACCAGCATGATTAACACACCATCCTTTCAGCCTAGGCCCTGCTTATACTAGGAAAATTACGAAATATTCAATAACACAGCCAGCACTTGTGTGGCTCCACAAATGCTTGGTTCACTGGGGATTCCAATACAGACCAACCAAGTCAAGCAGTATCCACATATACAGAACTAAAGAACATTTTCCATTTCATCTAATCCAATTCTCTGCCACTGCTGGCACACAGACAAACCAGAACAGGTTCATGCAGAGACACCAAGGCTAGCTCTAGAATGAATGCAGCTGTATTAATTGGGCCAATTAAAAGTATGCTTTTTTGCTTTCCTTAGGGTGCAATCCCAGTATAACTATCCTACTTTTAATAGGTATCCTTGTATAGGATAAATTTCATTATATAAACATTAATATTTTAAAGGTCTCTTTCCAAAGTAGTTAGTAGCCTTACTCCTTACTGCTTCTTCAGAACCACAATCCTCTTGTCAATTAGACACCTCATAGTTTAATTTCTGGCCTAATATAGCCATGAGTGGTTTATATTAATCTGTTCTTGCTCCAGTTCTGTCCCTAAGTTTGAACAGCCATTAGCTCCCATTCTTATTTGCTTTCTCTAGCACTTATAAAGAAAAATAAAATTCAGACTTTGCTTTGCCAAGTTGAACAGGACAATCTCTTTAAATCACTTCTCCAAGTAAGCTGCACATTTCTCTGACCATTTTTACATCTTTTTGTTTCGTGGGGTTTTTTTTTCCCAATTTAAACTGAACCTTTTCAAGCATAAGAGATAAGAACTAAATGTAACGTTCCAGATCAGATCTCACCACTCTATACCGTCCAGTCTTTCCAATCTCTACTGGAAATAACTTATCTGGATTGAATTTGTTGCTGTGCATCAACAGCTGAACCATGCTGATCCCTGAGGGTGCAAACACCAATTCTTTCCCCTTTTCTGTTTTTTCACTGAGGAGCTCCTGGCTATCAGCATAAATTCTTGTTACCAATCTTTCAAGCACCTTAACCTGCATTCCATACTTCTCAAAATTTAAGTATTTTTTTCTATTAATTCTATCCTGAAGGCAGTCTATTTTTTCTTGTTTGATATCCTAATACTGATCTGAATCTCCTGTAGTATCAATATATGCATTTGTGTAAACTAATTTCACAAGGACTTCCTTTTATTCTCTGCCCACTTGCCCCCACCATCCAATCCTGCAATAACTCACCAGGAGCATAAATGCTGCTTCTGTAGCTCAATGGGTAATACTGCCTCTGTTTAAAAAGAAGTGCCAATATAAAACCAGTCTAAAAACTTCAGGACTGAAAATGACTTACACTTATGGTATATAATAAAACTAAAATCTACAAAGGAAAAGTTGAAGTGGTCTGGTTTTATATGATAGCAGATTGCTATTCTTCCCTCATCACACAGACCTTGCTTTAGTGTCAGAAGAGGCTAGAGAGTTTTGCAAAGGTAATTTGTGGCTTGATCCCTGAAGACTGGAAGTCTCACATAACACAGCTTCATGCAAAAATGATACAGTTACCACAGAACAATGTTGTTTTAGAAACAGAATATTTGCATGAAAGGTCAATCTGCTGCCAATAGGTTAAGAGCAATGCTTCCAATAATTTTACCAGGATACAGAAGTCTAAATTGTCACTCAATTTGAACACAAACTTCAAACTGCACGTTTTAAAAACAAAATTGTCTGATATCTAGCCAAAACTCTGCAGAATTAACAGGGACAAAGTTAAGAAATTTTAAAAGTTACAGAGACTGAGGCCATGTTCTCTTGGATCTTTCATCTTTTTTGTGAACACATTTCCAGGTTGTTTTTTTTTACTTTGGACTCCACACAAAGCACAAGGCCTTTATCTGACCTTGCAGCACCATAAAATCTAGACGGGGAAGCAGGACATGGCTGGGACTACTCATTGTTCAGTTCTGAGAATTATTACCCACTGACAGGAGTCCTGCTCTTTTTCTTTCTCCTAATCACAAAATGAATTCCCATCAAAAACAAAGAAATATTTGTTGTTTACAGGGGAAAAAAAAACCTCAAAGGAAAATTCACTAAATTAACATCTGCTTTCTCTATAGACAAGTTACATATGCTTCCTTGGAGATGAATATCAAGTTTTCTGTTAAGACATGATTTCTGACATCAGGTTGTTGTACACCTTGGCTGTTCATCACACGCTCTTTTTCAATTAAGTTCAATTTTGTCCTAGTTCTGTATAGCTCAGCTTTAAAAACAAAAAACCCTACAGCCAGTACAGGAAGCGAGATTACAGAGACGTTTGTTCTGGTGACAAAATTATACAGGCTAGGAGGAACAAGAAGCCATCATCTATGCAGCAGCCTTACCCTTCTACGCAGTCTGTCCCTTTCTTCACGAATAGCATTCATGGTGGCCTTGGTCCTGTTCAGCTCCTCCTCTTTGCTACACAGCATGGCTGTGAGGCTCTCATTCTCTTCCCGCAAGCCAGCTAGCTCTTTCTCCCATCGAGATCTCTCTTCAGACAGATTTGGGTAAAGGTCACGTCCCAGTACACCTTCAATCTCTTCTACAGTCTACAAAAATGCAGTCATCAAAAAACAGAAAGAAGTAGAGAAAGATGATTGAACAAGACTAATGTTCACAGGACAGAAGTGTGTACCAGGCACAACTATATATACTTTCATGTACCCAGCCCCACATCACCATTATTTTGATTCTTTTGTTTGATAAGTAATATCAAACAAAATTATTGCTTATTTTGATTGATAGTTTGACTATTTTATTAAAACTTCTCATACTGAACAACACCAAAGCAGATGGATGTTTTATATGCAATAAAAACATATGTCACTCGTGAGTGACAGCAATCCCAATAGTTTCATCTCAGAACACACTGAAAACAAATTAATGACTCCTTGTCATGAGTGAGCACTGTGCTTGTTGTTTCCCTGCCTGAGTAACAGGCAGAAAGTAGCAGCGTGTGAATGTGTATGGCATGAAGCCTTTCTTAGTTCTAGACCACCTCCACTAAATGGCAAGGAAAAGAGTGGGACAGTAAAAAAGGAGGACTCTTCTTTCCCATGTCCCTGAGCATGTTCTTTCCTAGGGGTAACAGAGAGATAACAGAAAGAAAACTGGCCTTGGCTAGACTTGTATTACACCAGAAGACATTACAGCCTTTCTAGTGCCTAAAAAAGGCTGTGTTTCTCTGGGATATATGATGTCATTCAGCATTGCTCGCCCCATCCATCGCCTTTCTGAGAACTGTGCCTTGTAGGCACCATTCTGCATGAAGGATATTCAGCAACTTTCACCGTGTGAAACTAAACTGCAGGCACACACCACCAGCAAGGGAACACTGACATGTCTGAACTTACCGTCAGACTGGTAATTCAGTGCGTTGAAATGCATCATAACACTCAATGTGTCAGGTAACTACATGCAGTTCTGATTCCACTACACAGCCTATGCTGTGACTGTGTGTTAAATTTCTTCATTATGGAAGATCTTTGCAACAAGCAAAAAACCCTGCAATTATTGCTTATAAGCTTTTGAATCTCTCTGAAGGCACTCTGCATTAAAATGCTACGAAGAAACATGGAAAATAAATGAATATATCATATAACTAGCAACCTAGACAGTTTTGTTTCATTGGATAATCCAAGAACAAGTTATAGCTAAAGCCTATACTTTTAAATTTAATATAGAAGATGAGTAACTCATGCACCAAGGTTAAAAATAGTCTACCTAGTTGCTTTGTTCAAAAGGATTTAATTTTTGTATATAACAAAAATTACTAACCAAAGTTTATGTCCAAGAACCAACTAGAGTACAGCTGAAAATGACAAACCAAGTTGAAAATACAACTTTGTGCTTTTTTCTGCAAGAAATCTTACCAGTGTCTGACACTGATGTATCAGTGAAATTTTATTATTTGTCCATTATAACAAAAAGTGGGTTATTTATTGATGTCAATACATTTATCTTAAAGAATGAATCTTGGCTACAGCAAGATTCCTTAGTAAAGGGGAAAAGACACATAAAAAAGGAAAAAAATTATTTTAACAATGAGTTCAAAATGCCTCTTTGAAAGAAACAGGCAAAACTTCTGCAATTAGGTTCAGTTTATCCTTTATAATCACATGTATAGTCACATAATGCACTGTAAGCTCACCACCCTGGATTTCA